GTTCAGTCACATATAGCCCAGGGATATTTCCTTGCCTCATAGAGTTGCCAAAAATTTGGGTTAAATGAGTTCCTGATTTTAAGCACTGGATGGTGTCTTTTGTCATCTTTTGCGGAGGCAGTGGTTAGGTGGTGATGGTTTCAATGTGAGAGCCATCCTCATGTCCTTTGGGAGGCAACACAAAGGAGGTTACAGCTGCCCCCCTCCCTGAAAAACTGGGGCCCCAGGCACTTTCTGGGTACTTGTAGGAGCTGGTGATGTTCTGGCTCTGGTCTGACCCTACCATCTTGGTGCTGATTTCCTTCCTGATGGAACTGATGATATGGGCCAGGAGTTCCTGGGCCTGGCCATCCCCCAACAGCCAAACGACTTCATCGACGTTCACCTCAGCATACACAAATGGGGTGTTGTAGGGCAGGTGGGCCTTCCCTTCCCTGATGGCCTTTACGGAGGCAGGGCCACAGTGGAACAATCCTGTTCAGGGAACAGGAGTTGTGGACCATTAACTTGGCTGCTGACATATGGACCAGGGCCAGCGGGTCCTGGCCATGGGAGGTAGAGGTAGGGAGATGGGATGGGGAGGGGCAGTGGCATTAATGACCCTCATCCATGGGGTGCTCTCCAGTTCCCATTAATTCATCTGATGCTCACAGCCACCCTGGGAAGCAGCAGTCATCACCTTCATCTTCCCTACTTTACAGGTGAGGAAACAACTGAGAGGTCCAGTGACTCATCAGCTCACCCAACTGTCAAAGGCAAAGTTAGACCCCTGACCCGAAGTTGTCTCTGCTACGACTTTGGAAAGCGGATGAAGTGGGAAAGGCATCGTTCCTTTCTGGCCTCCTGCTCGTGGGGTCAGTCACCCTGACCGGCGTCCCCACAGAGCCCAGACCCTTTCACAATGGTCTGCTCTCACCACTGCTGGTTTGCTGGGGAGTGGGGTCCAGAACCTGCCACCCGTTGTATCCTGGAGGGAGATCTTTCCGGATCATCCAGCACTCGTTCCAGACATGGAAATGCCTGGAGAAAGCAGTAAGGAGAAAAGGACTCACGTTTTCAGAGGATTTGCCAGGTATCAAACCCTATACTGAGTGCTTTGTATCATTGTTTCTTCCTTTATTTTCTCTACATTTTATTTGGAAGTAATTTCAAGCTTATAATAAAGTTGCAAGAATAGTACAAAGAGCACCCATATACCCAGTTCATCTATTGTTAGCATTTTGCCCCCTTTGCTTTATCACTAGCTTTCTTTCAGTGTGGATATGGAGATTTCTTAGAATAGGGATCTTCCCTTGTGTACTCTTGTACAGTTATCAAACTCACACATTTAATATTGATACTATCCTCGGGCTTCCCTGGTGGCGCAGTGGTTAAGAGTCCGCCTGCCGATGCAGGGGACACGGGTTCGTGCCCCGGTCCGGGAAGATCCCACATGCCGCGGAGCAGCTGGGCCCGTGAGCCATGGCCGCTGAGCCTGCGCGTCCGGAGCCTGTGCTCCGCAACGGGAGAGGCCACAACAGTGAGAGGCCTGCGTACCGCAAAAAAAAAAAAAATTGATACTATCCTTTTATCTACTTTACTGTCTATATTTCAATGTTGTCAGCTAATAATGTCCTCTGTGGCAGGGGTCCCCAACCCCCGGTACCGGCCCGTGGCTTGTTAGCAACTGGGCCGCACAGCAGGAGGTGAGCAGCAGCGAGCAAGTGGAGCTTCATCTGCTGCTCCCCATCGCCTGCGTTACCGCCTGAACTATCGCCCCACCCCTCCCGTGGTAAAATCATCTTCCACAAAACCGGTCCCTGGTGCCAAAAAGGTTGGGGACTGCAGCTCTGTGGCATTCTTTTCCACCCAGTCCAGGATCACACATGGCATTTAGTTGACCAAAAACCTTTGTGTCCTTTGATCTGGAAGAGTTCTTCCGGCTTTGTTTTATCACATTGACATTTTGAATACAGTATTTATTTATTTATTTTTATCAGAGTGGCCCTCATTTTGGACTTGCCTGCTGTTTCTTCATGATTAGATTCAGCTTACGTGCTCACAGACAGAATTCTACACAAGTGACATGTCCTTCCTAGATACACTACTGCTCATTGACCCAGAGAAGTTTCAGCCCTCGAGGAGCCCAGAGAGGGAGGGAGCTCCAAGGACAGCAGCTAGTTCTCATACAATTCAAAGGTCTCACCTGGAAACTGGCTGGAAAAGCAAAAACAGGAAATCAGATGTGGGGTAGAGCAGAGGAGAAAGGAACCAGAGGAAGCAACTAGAGGTCCAAAAATAAAGGGACACACAGAGACACACACAGACGTATATACACATGCCTACAGAGAGGGAGTGGGGCAGGGAGAGGAGAAGTCAGCAGAGACCAAAGGAAATATGCAGAGGCAGCTAGTCCTGGCTTTGCCCTGACAGAGAAACAGAGAAATGTGCTCTGTTTTCTGAAACAGAAAGGCTCAAAGAAGGAAGAGTAAGATGAAACAGATTTTGAGGTCAGTATTCAGAGGAGACACGACCTATTCATTTGGTTGCCAGCTTCAGAATACATTATCCCATAGTCTTCTATCTCTGAAATGAACTTGATGTGATGCTCTGATTAGCCAGAACAGCTTTCTGGCTGGGGAACTTATTCTCTGAGCATCGGCAACAATGTACGGGGCAATATTTCCTCAAGGCCAGACAGCATCAGGCCAGAATTTTCCTACCCTACCTGGAACGGAGCAGAGACCTGTAGGAGACAGTGCCCCTTACCATATTTTGTCTTGTTTCTGAGTTGGCAGCATCTCTGCATGTTGGTCATAGTAGGTGTCGATGGTCAAGTTTGCATCCACGTTGTATGCAGAATGGAAATCGGAAACGACACGGGTTGGAACACCTAAGCATCTCATTACTAAAGAGAAGAAAAGCATGGGGACTAACTGAGTGTATTTCAAGAAGAATCATTGGTTTCATGAGCATACTTTCTCACTTTCAAGCTGGAGGAGAAGAAAAGGCCAAGATTCTTGCAGATCCATACCTGTCACTCCTTTATCCTCAGAGCACCTCACCCAGGCCCAGAACCTTGTGGCCTACCTGCCCTATCCATAGTCTCCATTCCACCAGGAGAAAGAAATCATTTGAGGGTCACTTAACAACAACTCAATTTATCATTTAGGGATTTTTCCATTCAGCAGCTTTCCAAACTAAAAAAAGAGAACCTAAACATTTGATAATTGGAAAGAAAAATTTAAAAAATTAGACCTATGCTGTGGCCAGAAGAGAAGCTGTGTGACCTTAGGTAACTGGCTTAACTTCTCTGGCCCTTAGTCTTCTTATATGTAACAAAATGAAGAGTTGGACTAGATGATTTTCAGTTCTGAAATTCTGGATCTGTAATTATACTCAAATAAAAGGGTTTGGAGGAAAGAAAGAAATCAAAGCACAGGTAGAAGAGCCAGATAGACTTATGGAGATATGTGGAAGACAGCGACGAAGGGAACCTTGCATGTACGAGGCAATGACCATCTTTGATAAGACAACAGCACCCTCTTGTGACGTCTTAGGAATCACACAAAGCAGCCACTACATCACCGTCATCCCCACCACCACCACCACCACACACACTTGACCAGGGCCAGATGAAATTAAGCCGACAGCCAGGTGTGGAAGCAAGCAAGGTGAGTTTAGAGAGAGGTTTATCCCACCCCTGTCCTGCTTAGGAGCAGATGGTGCCCGCTGAGGCTGCTGGGAGGATTACAATGCTTTGAAATGTAAGAGGACTATTAAGAATGACCAATCTTTTTGTTTCGATTCATTGAAGATCCCCAAAGGACGCCACCTGTCCACAGTCGCCTATCCACTGCCAGCACAGCTCCTGGGCTTTCACAAACCCTTAACCCTTGGTGAGAGTTAGACCAGGGCTGCCAGTGGCCAGAGGCAACTTGGCAGGAGCAGCTTTCCCCTCGCTCAAAGGTCGTAGACTCTAGGGCCTAGCCGTGGGGAGAGGCTCGGAGGTGGAGCAAAGATGCAGACTTAGACCTTCTCCCTCTCTTTGCAGGGTCTAAAGGCCTGAGCCCTCCTCCTTAACACCTGCCTAGTCCAAGGCAAATTTGGCTGTACTAAATACTGGCACTGTGCTGAGCATTTTCCCGTGAAAACAAATGAACAAAATGAGGTCACTTGATTTGAACACTCATATTTATACCCCTCCACTGTCTGTAGCACCTGTACATAACTGCCAAGCTATGTTGCCCCTCTCAGAAAAGTCTAGAACTTTGTCTTTGGACCCTGTCTCTGCCCTCCCCATTCTGTGCTCCCTCGTTCTCCAACTCAGAGTCAACACATCGGTTCAGTAAACACTTCTTGAGCATCACAATGTAACAGGCAGCACTGTGCAAGGTACTCCTGCCTCTTGGGGGAAGATAGGCAGGCACCACAGTGCTTTCCATCTTTCCCTCATCTTCACAGATAATCTGATCAATGACTTGGGACTAAATTGTAAATAACTGATAATGCATGAAACATGGATGCTCCTTAAGGGTAGTCAGCAAAGTAGTCAATCTCTAACTGTAACTCCTCAAGAATCTCTCTGAGAAGTGTTTGGGAGCCACCAGCTCTGCCCACAGATGAGATCAGGCTTCCAGATTATCTGCTTGCACCTCAAGCTTTTCTCAACCTGCCCCTGACTCCAGGCTCACCTTGAGCTGAGAATCCTGAGCAGGTGTCAGAAACAAGCCAGTTTTGCCTCCACTTTGGGACCAGGTGACCATTTTAATAGCCTAACTGCTCCATCAAGAAGACTGAAGAGTGATTGCAGCAGGTCACACCTTCCCTGGTTATTGCAGGATTCCTTGAGACTATAGAGTGTGCTGGTTAAGAGTCAAGTGACCACCACTCCTTAGCCATGGGGCTGTGGACAGGCCACAGTCAACTCAGGTGAAGTGGAGATAATCCCAGCCCAACCTCAAAGAGTTATCACGAAGAGTCAATAAGTGATTCTGCATTCCCATCTCCCCCTCACTCACTGGTACCCATAACAGCTGCAAATACCCAGCACTGCCCATACCTCACAGGCTGCCCGCCCCTGGCTGCCCACTGTCACAGGATGGCCACGCTGCCCGTCCGCTCCAGTGGGCTGACCCCCTGGGAGTAGTCCTCTCTCCAGCTCCCCTGCAGCACACGGCTGTCATCATTGCTGTTGATCTGCAGAGGAGAGACAGGTGGGTTTTCGCAGTGCGGTGCGGGGGGGGGGGGGGCAGGGAGCTCAGGCAGGGCCGGGGAAGCTTCTGGCCTTACCATGGCGCTCACCACCCTGCAGACATACACCACATTGTTCCACTGGGAGTAGTCTTTGGTTGGGTTCTCTAAGAAGTACAGGCTCTTGTTCAGAATCTGAAAGCAGATATCTATCATGTCCTCTTCAAACTTCCAGGGGATTTCAAGGAAGAACAAAGAGAAGAGTAAAAACGTCTAGAATTCTGAAGCCAAGTCAGTAACACCGACGTTTGGGGTGGGGCCAAATATCAGACAAGTTCCTGCCTTCAAAGAGCTTGTAAGTCAAGTTGGGAATGTGTTAAGATTCAGAATTTTGAAGAACTAACCTGTGTGTTTCTGATGGAAAATGCAAATGGAATTTGGAAAGATGCGAGTCAGCTGAAGGCATCAGAGAAGACTATTGGAGCCGGTGGGCTTGGAAGGACAAGGTAGACAGGAAGAGAGCAGGGTGAAGGCATTCACCCAAGGTCTTTGGGCGTGATGGGTACCAGAGACAGAGGCTCAGAGATTTTCCTCCTGGAGGACTTGCGAGAGTAGGAAGAGATCGGATGGATACATATAAGGCCAGGCATGTGAGGAGAGGGGGAAGAGCGTGGAGAACCTTCAAATCAGGTAGAGGGTTCAGTGCTGATGGTGTGAGCACAGGAGAAGCCAGTGTACACTCATGACATACAGCTACAACATGTATTTGCTACATGTGTCGTAACCCTTTTGGCTACCAAATACCCTGGTATTTTTCTAAGTTTCAAAAAATTACACAAGTTGTTGGAGAACAGGGAACCTGATCTTCCTCAGCAAGGCTCCCTGCTTCCTACCCCCAACCCACTTTTCCCTCCCGGTGGGTGTGGACAGGGCTGAGAAGGCAGTGGGAGGCAGAGAGAAACTATCCCAGCCACGGCTGGTGGTTGAGAGTAGAAAAGTTGCCCAGAGTCAAAGGTCCCCCGCTGTGTACCTTAACTGGATATTTGGTGTTATTAAAGAATTGCTGTTCATTATTTCAGTTATAATACTGTATTGTGGCTCAGTTTTTCAGAGAGTCATCATCTTTTAGAACTATATTTGGAAGTATTACTCGATTAAATGATATGGTAATTTGCTTCCCAAAAATCCAGTGATGAGATGCGAGGAATGGGGAAGAATACATCAGGGATCGGCAAAGTTTTTCTGTAAAGGACCAGATAATAAATATTTTAGGCTTTGCAGGCCATAGGGTTTCTGTCTCAACTACTCAATCCTGCCATTGTAGCATGAAAGCAGCCACAGATGATACCTAAATGAATGAGCATAGCTGTGTTCCAATGAAATGCTGTTTATTAGACACCGAAGTTTGAACTTCATATAATTTGCACATCACAAAATACAGTTGGCCCTCTGTGTCTGTGGATTCTACATCCATGGATTCAACCAATAGGATCAAAAGTATTAGGGGAAAAAATTCCAGAAAATTCCCAAAAGCAAAACGTGAATTTGCTGCACAGTGCCAGCAACTATTTACATAGCATTTACATTGTTTTAGGTGTTATAAGTATCTAGAGATGATTTAAAAGTACATGGGAAGTTGTGCATAGGTTATATGCAAATACTATGCCGCTTAATTTTTTATTTATTTATTGGGGGGTGAAGTTGAAAAGAATAGTTTTATTGCTTTGCCAAGCAAAGGGGGCCACAGAGGGCTAATGCTCTCAAAACTGAGTGTCCCAACCTGGAGGGGGTAGTGAGGAGTTTTATAGTAATGGTTCAAAGACGAGGGTGTGATCAGCTCATGGACTTTCTTCTGATTGGTTGGTGTGAGGTAAGTGGGAGTCAGCATCATCAACCTTCTGGTTCCAACCGGTCCTGGGTCCTGCCAGTTGTGGCAGCATACAGTTAACTTCTCCCACCTGGCAGGGGTTTCAGTATCTGGTTTCAGGACTTAATGAAGCTCAGGTTCTTGATGTGTCATGGCAGAAAGAATTCAGTGAGAGACAAAGTGATAGGTAAGAAGTGGATTTATTTAGAGAGAAACACACTCCACAGACAGAGCGTGGGCCATCTCAGAAGGCGAGAGCGGCCTATGCCACTTTATATAAGGGACTTGAGCATGCTTGGATTTTGGTATCTGTGGAGGCGTCCTGAAACCAATCCTCTGCAAATACTAAGGGATGACTGTGTTATTTTTAATTTTATTTATTTATTTATTTTGCGGTACGTGGGCCTCTCACTGTTGTGGCCTCTCCCGTTGCGGAGCACAGACTCCGGACGCGCAGGCTCAGCGGCCATGGCTCACGGGCCCAGCCGCTCCGCGGCACGTGGGATCTTCCCGGACTGGGGCACGAACCCGCGTCCCCTGCATGGGCAGGCGGACTCTCAACCACTGCGCCACCAGGGAAGCCCGACTGTGTTATTTTTTTTAAATTCTTTTTTTCAGCAGTTTATAAAGTATGAAAACCATTCTAAACTCTTGGGCCATGCAAAAACAGGCAGTGGGCCACATCTGGCCCACAGGCTATAGTTTGCAAATCCCTGATTAGATGAAACAAAATACACCATAAATTGATCACTATTGAAGATAAGAGGTTCATGGAGGTTCATTATAGTAGCCTGAACCTCCATGTTTTAAGTTTTTCATAAAATATTAAAAACTGAGAAGGAAAGACATCTCCCCTTCCCTCCTTGTGCCTCTCACTGGAAGGGAAATTGGTCCAGCACTGCACATACTGACTTCTGTTAGTGGCACTTCATAACCTAATAGAGTTGTCTAAGGCCCACTTCAGGTGACAGTGTTACCTGCCCATAGTTCCAGGGCCAGGGGGTGATGACTCTTTCATGACCATTGTAAACAAAGCCGTAGTCCATCATGATATACTCCTGCAGCAGTATTTCACTTGGCAGGTAGACGTCATCCTCTGAGCAGTTAAGAATAGCAGAGGGGGCAAAGCCCCAAACCAAAAAACAAACAGTAATAAAATTAAAAACAGTAATGGCAGTATCTTGCTGGATAATCAGATAAGCAATGGGTTGATGGCAATAGAAATCAAGACTGGACCCCTTAAAAGCTTGTGTGCTTTTCTAGAGGCCAGCGATATAATCTATACTTTAAAAAAAGATGATCTTTTCTTGGTTATAAAAGCCTCAAGCTTTTCATAGAGATTTGGAAAATATGGATGACAGAAAGAAGACAATGAAGATCTCCCCTTCTTACTACTCAGAAACAGCCATCGTTACATTTTAGTGTATTCTGGCTGTGCTCTCTTTCTCGGCACATATATGTAATTAGAATCATATGTGTTCCATTTCCTAATTGATTTCACTTAACATCACACCATGAACATTTTCATCATGCCATTAAAAATTCTCTGTAAAGATGATTTTTAGTGAGTACATGGTAACACATTGCATAGATGTGCAGCATTTTATCTTCAGGGCTTTCTAAGTAGATCCTCACGGAGTGTTCCCAATGGATCAGTTAGAATTACAACCTGTGAGCAAGTTATACCTGCACTTCAAGGGTTAAAAAGCAGGATGAAAGTCCCCAGAGGGTGGGTTGTGCTGTGACCAGGGCCCTGAGAGATCTCCATCTTCAGAGTGTAGGGACCAATGACTGCATTGGCTGGTGTGAAAAGGGAGACAAAGAGTGAGTTGGCATGAATGGTGAAGTCAGAAGCACTCCAGACATTGCCTTGTCGGGCCTGGGTGAGCAAGAAGGTGGCTCGGGTTCCCAGCAGCTCGGTGGGCTGTGGTCCTGTGTAAGAGAGAATGACCCCAAAGTGAGGTGCAAAATCTATGTGACACGATTTCAGAGGAACTGGGAGGACCCTTACCTTCTCCTACCACTTGCTAATCCTTTTACTGCCACTGGGTGTCCTTGGCCATGCACTTATGATCTGTGGGCCTCAGTTTTTCAATCTGTAAAATGGGATCTTAGTAGTACCCACCTGAAAGTCTTGTCACAGGGATTAAATGAGTTAGTGTGTGTGAATTTTTAGCACAGTGCCTGTTGTGTATTTAAAAGTTGTCTGTTATTATCACAATCTTAGTTTGCTGAGTTGGCCAAATCTTTTCTTAACAGCGCTAATAGGGTCCCCGGGGTCCCAGGAGAAGAGATGGGAGGGCGGTTCAGAAAGGAGAGGCAAGGGCTTCGCTGGTGGCGCAGTGGTTGAGAGTCTGCCTGCCGATGCAGGGGACGCGGGTTCGTGCCCCGGTCCGGGAGGATCCCACATGCCGTGGAGCGGCTGGGCCCGTGAGCCATGGTTGCTGAGCCTGCGCGTCCATAGCCTGTGCTCTGCAACAGGAGAGGCCACACAGTGAGAGGCCCGCGTACCACAAAAAAAAAAAAAAAAATGTGGAAGTTCAGAAAGGAGAGGCAGGGGCCCTTGAGGTGAACTTTGTCTTGGGGAGGGGCGGGCTCATCTGTCTCAGCCACAAAGATGATGTAGTCGGTCCCAGAGTGGAAGCGTCGGTTGAAATGCAGCTGGATTGTGAAGGACTCACCGTGGCGCATGATGAGCCACTGCAGGCCCATCTCCTGTGTGTGAGGCTCCTGGTTGTTCCTGGCGTTCTGCAGGTCGACGGACCTGAGCTCCAAGGCTGCCACTGGGACGGGGGTTGGCAGGGGGACAGGTCACTGCCCAGCTGTGGCTCCCTGGGCTCAGCATCCCCTGACACTTCTTGACATTTCATGGCACCCGGCTCTGACTTGGGTAAGACTGCTGTCCAGATCTTAGCCCTCTGCCACCTGCCCCCTAATCTCAGGACTCAGCCTCAGAGAGCATTTCAGCATCGTGATCCCAGTGACCTCTGGACCTGGACCTGGAGCCACAGTGCTCGAGAACTGGGGTCCCAGACAGCACAACATTTCCAGATAACTGAAACTTAACCTCAAAGTGCCGCCATGTACTTACTCTTAATCACTTTTGTTGACAATCTTTCTAAAAATTACTCTATTATCCTGATGATAGAAGAAAGAGCATACTCGAATTTTGTATGAATTAAGTCAATGAGCTGACTGGAGGCTGGGACCTCAGCTACAGGCAAGTCCCTGCTTTAGGATATGGGGGAGGGTGGGTACCTCAGGGTTATTTGCAGCTTATTTCTTGCTTCTCAGTCACATTCCAGGTGGATGAGGGTACTGGCTGCTTCCTAGGATGTACACTTAGTGTGTAATTTTAAAACTCTCATAGCATAATGGGCAAGGTGCAGGCTCTCACCATCTTGGCTGTGAAACCTTAAGCAAGCCACTTAAGGTCCCTAGACATCAAAAAAATGGTGACAATGGTGTTCCTACCTCCTAGAATTCATGTGGGCATTAAGTGAGGACTCACAAGTAAAGACCTTCGCATAGTGGCGGGTGCAGGGTAAGCACTCGGTCATCAGTAGTTGCTCTTAGTACTGATAATAATGCAGCCTCAGATTGCATTTGCTTTGCTATTTTTGCTGGTGATAAAAATTCATTAGGTCCTTTCCCCCATTAGTACCTCAGTTTATCTCAGTGGTTCTCAACAGGGGCAATTTTGCCCCCTAGAGGACATTTGGCAAAGTCTGGAGACATTTTTGGTTGTCACAACTCGGGGAGAGGCTGCTACGGGTGTGTAGTGGGTAGAGGCTGGGGATGCTGCGGAAAAACTCGTGTTTGCTCCAGCCAGTTTCTGTGCCATTCGCATTTTGAACTTTCTTCACATAAGTTCTCTATATTTTCACTAAATGAGTTCACTTTGATAGTTTTAGCCCATCTTTGTTACCTGGCTGGATTTTTTTTGAGTCCTAATTATTTCACCTAAACGCTTTATCTTACTCTCTGGGAACTGGCTAAACAGTCTTCCAGGTCTTTGTCCAAGTCATTGGTAATACGATGGTTCTAAGCATTAAGGCTTAAGTCAGAGGCCAGTGGA